CTCTCTTCTTCTTTTAACTAGGCACAAAATCTTGACAAATCACGCAACCCTTTTAAACTCCCCTGATACAAAGCAAGACCCTTACCAAATCTTCTCCTCCATTAGAAGGTCACTGACCAATGGTCAGTTAAAACATTTCTCTTCACTCTTTATTATCCACCTCTCGCCAATGGGCCTCATTTCTCGGCATATTCTCAAGGTGATTAGCAAATCACACATCAATAAAATCTCCCAGCGCATTATAATATAGTACAAGAAATCTGTAAAAACGCAACAGTTTCTGAAGAAGGCCAGTGACATTGTTCGAAGCATCTTTTACAAGTATGCCTGGCTGATTGAGGAGAATTCTGAATGCATCCTTTGGTTAACCGACAGGATATTTTTTTTCAATATATCTAGAGTAAAATTTTCTCAACTTTCTTAAAAGATATTTGAAAAAATATATCCCCCAAAATTTTCCCTTTTTATTATTTTTTTTTCGATAATTTATAAATTATTTATTTATTTAACTTTATTCAATTTATTTACTATTTATTTATTTATAAATTTATTTATAAATTTATAATTTATCGTACAAGAAAACTGTAAAAACACAACAGTTCCTGAAGAAGGCCGGTGACGTAGTTCGAAGAAACTTTACAAGTATGTGTGGCTGAATGAGAAGGATTTTAAATGCACCTTGGCTAATCAACAGGATGTTTTGTTTTTTTTGTTGTTGTTGTTTTTGTTTGTCTTTTTTTTTAATCTCTAGAGCAATATCTTAAAAAATATTTGTAAAATCATATCGACAAATCAAAGTCGACCCCCCAAAAGTTTTTATTTTTTATTATAATTTTTTATTTTTTATTTATTTTTTTTATTTATTTATTTTATTTTTTTTTTTTTTCGCTAATTTTCATCATTTCAATATTCTTCCTCCAACAGGAATCGTGTAGGATACAGGTTCGATTCCTGTCGGAGGACACATATTTTCTATGAAAATTTCTCGGATATTCAGGCCGGAAATTGTAGTTAATATTGCTTATTATAAAAAGAGCATTTACTTAACCCTAGAACAGTAACCATCAATTAAAGTTACACCATTACTAACCATGGGTATATCATATCCGATTTTGAAAATATCAAAAAAATATTAAATATAAATCTTTATTTGAAATATTTTACATGCAGGCACTTCAAACTTTGTATTTTGAGTTAACATTAATAGGAACTGAAAAACATATTATTTAGGTAAGACAATCAGGTATTGAAAATTGTAAATAAAAATAGGAAAATTTGCGCTGGGTACTATATACCCATGGTTAGTGTTCTAGGGTTAAATATTTGTATCTATAAAAATAACGTATAAATAGAATATATATATATATATATGTGTATGTGTATGTGTGTGTGTGTGTGTGTGTGTATATATATATATATATATATATATATATATATATATATATATATATAGTTTATGCAAAACTAGGTAATCCGTATGGGTAGACCCAAGGAGGATAATATCCAGAGAGCTCAATGTAAATTCAGAGCAAATAATTTAAATAAAAAACAGACCACTTTAAGGTTCCATGTAATAAATTATTTCACCACAGCCCTTTTAAAGGGCTCTGGATCATCAGACTTTACTTCCAAAAGTTGAAATGAAAAAAAATTAATAATTTATTACATGGAACCTTAAAGTAGTCTGTTTTTATTCAAATATACACACACACACACACACACACACACACATATATATATATATATATAAAATTTAAGTCATTTTTTAAACAAAATAATGCAATATATATGCTTGTGTATTTCACTGAATACAACGGTCAAGAAATATTTTATAACTATTTATTCACTTCAGCCTGTTTTTATACACACTTACCATTCATAAGAAGATTATATGAACACTATTTTATTTATTTATTTGGAAGGAAACTATAAAATAGCGTTCTATAAGAATACTATAAAATAATGGCCGAAGAGAACAGCATAAAATAGCGCTTTATTAGAACATTATGAAAAAAGCGTTCTATAAGAGCACTATAAAATAGTGTTCTATGATAATACTATAAAATAACAATCTATAAGAACACTATAAAATAGCAGTCTATGAGAACACTGCACACTGCCTTCTACATGAACACTATGAGATAGCGTTGTATTAGAACACTACAAAATAGCGTTCTCTACGAACACTATAAAATAGTGTTCTATGAGAATTCTATAAAATGGCGTTCTATAAGAACACTATAAAATTTTGTTCTTATTAGTAAATAAGTGTTCTTAAAAAAATAATAAAATAAGTGTTTTTTTTTACAATCTTTCTTTTATGAAGATTAAGAGTATGTTGTAATTATTACACCGTGGGCCTTCGGCCGATTCATTAGCCATTTTGAAGTGTAGGAGGGGGTGCGTAATTTTTTTTTTCTTGTTACCAAAAATTAACCCCAACCACTTGAAAATGGCTAAGGCACTTCTGACATTCTTAGTCCTCAGAAAAGAAAAAACAAATTGTAAAGACACAAGGAAAACTGAATAAAAAAAAACTTACAAAATATTCCTTGCATTATTTACATTACACGGCCGCTGTACGCTCCGGCCTTCTTCAAGTGATTGAGTTAACGGAAAATAACTGAAACATCCGGAAGAGGCATGGCACGTGGAACTAGAACAATCTACCCCCACCCCTGGACGAAATATAGGGTTCGGTTCGAAATTCCAATCACCCGAGGAAATTCGGAGCGTAGAGCGGCCGAAAAGTTGTGAATGAATGTAGCAATGAAGATAAGGATAACAGTTCGAATAATGTAAATAATGCGTAATCAGCGGCCTCATCTCAGAGATATGAGAATTGAAATATGGCAATGAAGATGAGGATAACAGTTCGAATAATGTAAATAATGCAAGTAATCATAATACCTCATCTCAGAGATATAGACAAAAAAATTCCTTGTTCGTCTTTTTTTTTTCATATTACCGAAGAACAGTTTGTTTCGTTTTTTTTTTTTTTTGTCTTTTATATTTTTTTGTCTGTTTTAGTTTTTTTTTATTATCAAAAAGTATGCATATTAACGATTGATAGTTTTTTTCCGTTTTTTATTAATTTATTTATTTTGCATATTACTAAAGAGCGGGTTTATTTTACATATAACTGAAGTCTATATTTTACATATTACCGAAGAGATTTTTTTTTTTTCATCTTCAGTCAGTTATGTGCCATGCGTGAAACACGCTTAGGCGATCACGTATCTTTCGATACATGACTGACGAGGCAGATTTTTTCCCGCAGTAGGTTGCCATTTCTTTCTGCGGTAGACCAGTTGCCATCCAAGGCTATAGAACCTGGTCTGTTCTGCTATTTACCCATAGCTGGTGGGAGAAGAGGAGGATTCATACCTTTCCCAAGGATATTAGCACGTAAGCGAATGTAATGGATTCGACTGGAATCCGAATTCGGCTCTCCAATTCCTCAATCCGAGCCGCTAACCATTAACCCAGTGGATGCTTTCGAACTGTGTATTAATCATAAGTAAACAAAAAATAAAAATCTGACATTAATTGTAGCTTTCCAAAAAATTCCTTTATTAAAAAAATAAATTTAGAATTAAAATTAAAATTTCCAGTTTAATTTTTTTTAGTTTTTGTTTTTGTAATCCAGTATTAATTATAGATTTCTAACTTTAACCCATTAATTAACCCATTATTTTATCTCATTAATTAACCCATTAATTAGTCCATTAATTAACCCATTAATTATCCAATTAATTAGCCTACCGACTCATTTTGGAGACGATGTGCACTAACAGGCTAAATATAACCTTGACGCAATTTTTAATTTTAAAATTGCTAAAATACAAATTAAATTTCTGCCTGAATTTCTCGGATGTCGTTATTACAACGTTTCGGCCGTTGTGCCTTGCGGTCTTCAGTTCAGTTGGTTACCCAGATCGAGATATACCTGGAGAAGGCCGGAGGACACAACGGCCGAAACGTTGTGATAACAACAACAAAGATGATGACAATAGTTCGAATGTAAAAACATTAAATTAGTTCATTTTTTTTTTTTAAATAATGAGTTTACCTTTTGTTTAGTTATTATTAACAAGTATAACGAATATTTGGGAACAATTTTCACAAACAAATAATAATAATAATAATAATAATAATGAATTCTGATTTTTTTTAAGCATTTCACCCCAAGCAAGGCGGGAGTGCCACTAGCACGCAAGGGATTACAGAGAGTGGGAGTAAGAGTAGAGACGTGATAGAGAAAAGGATGAAGAGGGGGACAGGGAATAGGTCAGGGCATCTGAAGATGTCGATTGACATTACATTTGAATAGTTGGAGATTATAACTATCAGGGTAAGTAATAGGAAGGGAATTGCACAGAAGAGAGGTGCGAGACATGAAGCTATTGGAAGAGAAGAGACGGTTACATTTAACCGTTTCGACAGTGAAAGGGTGGGACTGAGATGCCGCTTAAATTCATGGAGTCTGGGAACTAGCTCAAGTAACTCGTCGGAGCAGTTACCGTGAAAGTATTTGTAGAAAAGACAGAGGGAGGCCACGGCACGTCTGTGAGAGAGCGACTGTCATTGAGATAGCAGATCAGGATTTGATTGGAAATGTTGACATATACACGTATTGCCTTGATCGATTAAGATGAACTACAATAATAGCCCGCTCAATACACTGATACTCTCATGGTTTCTGACCGGCTTTGATCGGAGATGTTAACATGAACATGTTTTGTTTTGTTGAACTAAGATGAGCTACAGTAAATAACCTGTTCAACAGTAGAGCAGATCGATTTTGGAGCCCCGGCATTGCACTCAATTTGAAAGTTGGGGTTTTATATGATCTATAGAGACACAAAATATTTATTTCCAACTCGTTACCGTTTTTTGAGGAAACAAGTTTGAAGATTAAGTTTAGGTTCAAAATCGTAGAGTTGCAATTGAATTCCGGTGATCAGTGAAAATCTTATAACACAGCCTTATAAAATTTATAATTTACTGAAGCTTTACAAATTGTACATGGACAAGATGCATGACACAAGCACATTATTACTAAATCATTGTTCCATCAAATAAGACCTTTATTTATTTCAAACTTAAAGTATACTGAACAATTTAGCTATATTATAATGCCATGTTATACAGCGTAGTAGTTTTAGAGTGATTTTCAATAAACAATGCAAATTTAAAGCTTTTTGTTTTATAATTTGTGCACAACAGTATTATGCTGTTATATACACTTTTATTTTTAAGACATTTTTTATGTTTATTCGTTCTTTTATAGATACAAATATTTAAGTAAATGCCCTGTTTATAATAATCAGTATTAACGACATTTACCGGCCTGAATGTCCTAAAAATCGAACCTGTATCATCCTATAATGAAACCGTCATATAGCCTGACGTGCCTTAACCGATTGGGCCACAGAGGAGCGTTCCGGTTAGCAAGGTCGATTTTACTGTTTTAAAACTACAATTCTTCATGATTTTCTCTCGTACATTCATATCTGCTTGATGCGTATCCAAATGTATACACTTTTATCTTTTTTTTATTAATTATGATCTAACAAATGATATAACAAATCATATTTATTAAGTAGCTTTTGTAATTTAAAAAAAATACAGTTTTACTTATTGAATCCTGTAAAAAAAAAAACAAACAGACGCCATATTCTGGTTTTGATACATTTTCCATTCAAAGTATCTAATACAAAAGATATCAACTTATGGATTTATTCTTAAAATAGTAAAATTTTGAAGTCAGTCGGTATAACCTGTAGAAATTAGACATTTTTCTACATTTTTCAGACAATCTTTAAAACTAAATGCCCCCAAAAATTGGTAAAAGCTATGAATTTAATTTTTGATGTCAGTACTTATATAAAATCCCAACTTTCACAGCGAGTGTCAGGTTCATTTTCTAAACAAAAGTGACAAATCAATCTGCCCTACTCTTCAGTACCACAGATATGCTTGTCAGTTGTCTAACCTTAACCAGTTATCCATGACCCAGAAACCACGCCGAAAAAACCGGCTCTTTGCTCACCTTAGTTAAGCAGTGTCGAGTCCGGTCAGTACTTAAATGGGGGACCGCTTGGGAACACCAGTTATTGTAAGCTGAATCCTACAATACGAAATATGTTTCGTCTTTAAATAACTCACGAAGGGTTGATAAGCCGTAAAAAAAAAATTCAACCAATCTTGAGCAGGAGGAATAGAAGGCGGAGAGAATCATGGCCGGGCGTCGAAGAGTGTTAGGTTTGAAGGGTGAGGTAGGCAAGGTGACTTCAGAGTCACAACGAGATCCTTGGAAACCCGCTCAATCGTAGACCACCTGAGCGAACTGAGTCACAGCACCTGAAGGTATTTCTAACCGGGCCCAACACCCAAGATAATGCGCTTCTTTTATCAAAACCTATCACCACATCATGATGGGTACATCGAGCTTCGTATATCTGACTTCAAATACAAGCCCTGACTTTGAATTGACTAGATCTGACAGAAAAATTATATCGGTCCAAAAAATTCGTACATATCTGTTGAAGACTCCAATCCCGGAACATTTCCAGCCTTATCAGGTGGAGAAGGCGATGAGAGCCCCATTCTAACCTCTTTCTAAACTCTGTTCTGCGTATATACAAGCACAGATATAAAGAGATGGGCACTGATCATTTACACATTCCATACCAGATCCCAAACGAATCTACTGATAGAAAACAGTGATTCTTTTTTTTCCCTCCCGTGGCCAATGGTGATGAGGTGCGTTATGCTGATGACATAGGTATACACAGTTGACGTAAAAATGATCTTGAACAAGAAAACAACATTCTCTACCACGTTTCCAGAAGTAGGAAACAAGATAAGCCTTTTCATAACAGAAACTTTAATCTGGAATTGGAATGAAAGCAGTGATGGAAAATACACTGAATCCATCATTAAAAAATCAGGATGTGAAATTAATAAATAGTAAACATTTCAAATACCTCGGTGTATGTATCGATTATAACAAATTTAGTGTAGGAGAAAAGGAAATTGCGACATAGAATAGAGTGCGCTAGGAATAGTTTCGCCGAACACCGCCAATTGCCACAAAGCCAAAACACTAACCGAAAAACGAGACTCTTGTTCTTAAAGGCCGGAGCATACAACGGCCGAAACGTTGTGAATATGGCAATGAAGATGAGGGTAATAGTCCAAATAATAAAAATAATGCAAGTAATCATAATACCTCACTTCAAAGATCCAGTTACCTGAATAAGGCCAGAGCGTACAACGGCCGAAACGTTTTGAATATGGTAATGAAGATAAGGATAACAGCCCGAATAATGTAAATAATAATAGTAATCATAATACCTCATCTTAGGGATCCAATCACCTGAAGAATCCCGAATAATGTAAATAATGTAAGTAATCATAACAGCTCAGAGACCCAATCATCTGAAGAAGGTCCAGAGCGTACAACGGCCGAAACGTTGTGAATATGGCAATGAA